AGTTCTCTTATTTTCTCAGACTGTCAATCCCCTTGGTCGCCCGCCCTGCAGGTGGACTTGACGCTTTTTTTCAGCCCTCTCCTGCCCTCTCTCCCTCCTAGTCCCGGTGTTTCTATTGTGTGTATGATGAAGACGTTAGTCCCTTTTGTCCTTTAGTGTTTGGGCTTCAGCCCAGCCATCATTCTAGTTGAATTCCCGCTTGGTCTTCCCACCCACCCACCATGTTCTTGAATCTTCCCCCTTTACGCTCCGCCACTGCACGTGACACCTGCCATTCGGTATATAATTAAGCCTTGAGACTCAGTTGTTGGGAGAACGCAGGATTGTTTGCCCAGAGAATAAAGACTGAGAGCTAGACCCTGGGTACAAAATCGGTTAAGTCCTGGTACCTGCTTGCCAGAAAGCGGGGTTGGGGGAGCGGTGAGGTAAAGCCAGAAAACAAAGTTGCATATTTTAGTGCTTATCTTGTGTCATGCACTGTGGTTACGTTTTACAGAGATAGCTCATCTGTGCCTCAGGGTATGCCCAAGGGGGGGTTCTAGGAACACCACCTAGTTAATGGATGGAGAAATGGAGGTACATGTACATCCCGGGGCCTGCACACCCTGCTCCTAGGCTGGACAATGAGCTGAGCTTTCCTCTTTACCAGGTAGGGGCTCCTCCCATCCAGACCAGAAGGACCCCAGTTTCTAGTCAATGAGGGCTTGGAGAAGGCTGTGTAGTCCCTCTGTATAGACTGTACTTGCACTGGAAGAGGAATATTTAAGTAGCATTGAATTTGGAAAATGACTTAGACAACTGCCTTAACTCTGGTATAACTGCTAGTCTAAATTCCTTCTGAAGAAGTGTGAGTGTGTGTGTTTTAGCAGATGCTGCTTCTATCATTGGACTTGTGACTGTCAGTAAACACTGTGGACCTGTAGAAGGAAGAGCTTATGTTCAGTTACTGGGTTGATTTCTTAGTAAGTTTTTCTAACATACTTCGTTCTGGAAAAAGTTAGTCAGGGTCACTATGGAGGCACTTGTTAAAGTGGTAACCATCTTGCTGCCTGCAAACCATGTTTATAAAGTGTGGCAAGCAGAGTGTTGCTTGGGTGTTATTTCTGGGAAAGTCAGACTGAATCAGTTATAATGCCCAACCTCTGAACTGGGCTGGGCACAAGGTGGAGGCCATAGAATGTCAGCATACTTGGACCTTCAGGGCTTCCTGAGGGAAATCTTTGCTTCCCACTGTGCAAGTAATCAGCCTCTCTCTCGCAGGAGAATAAGGGATCTGTGGAGATCATGAGAAAGGATCTGAATGACGCTCGAGATCTGCATGGCCAGGCGGAGTCGGCAGCTGCTGTGTGGAAGGCAAGTGGTTGGTCAGTTTGCAGATTTGTCTGGGTGAAATCAGAAACATCTGCACCTTCCTTGGGCATACTCCTCACGTGAATCTGGACCACAGGAAGGTGGATTAAGCAAAACAGGCTGACCAAACTGATGGGCAGCTGCTTGGCTTACTTGACTGGCAGAGGGTCTTTTGAATCAGTATTTTTCTAGGAATTTTTGTGGATATTTAACCTGTTTGGGGATTTTTTTTTTTTTTTTTTTTGTTCCATGTTTTATGCATGTGAGGTATTTTGCTAAATCCAGCTTCCTTTTTGGTAACTATCTCTTTGTAATACTCTTGATTTTGATGGAAAGGCATCACAGGTCTTTCCAGCTCTACTCAGTGACCATGTTGGAAGAACTTTGTGTATCTTTCCTGTTGTGCTTTGTTGTGGTGGTTTCCACAACAATATAGATAATGTAATGGTTACTAGAATTTAAGTCATTGACAAAATACAAATTAGTTTTAACTTTCTTTTCTTTCTTTTTCCTTTCGTATAGTAAAATTTGTACGGGTTCCTCAGGTTTTCCTAACTTCCCTACCAGCCCTTTTTTAACATACAAAAGTGGAGTGCTTTTTAAAACTGGAGAAGCTTTCTGCTTGTGAAGCCTGCACTATCAAGGTGAAGACCCACCCCATGTGGCAGTCTTCTGATCTCTCTTTTCCACCCAAACCCTGGCCCCCACTCCACAGATTCCTGATGCGCATACCTCCCTCATGCAGACAGCCACAGAGGGGTGGCAAATTGGATACACGGTGCAAATCAGACCCCAACAGCACATGCCACCTTGGTGAACCACTCTCAAATTCTCTAATAAGCACACTAGTATGAATTGAGAGCAGATGATATTAAGGCTTTGGAGCCCTGAAACAGTAATCCTCTGTCCTCCTAAAGTATTATTTTTGCCTACACATTTTAGCAGATAGGGGCTTTTGGTAGAACTTTTTTATTTTGGGTACAGACACTTAAGGGGAAAAATGCCTTCTAAATTCAAAGGATTGAGTTTGTGGTATGCCACATCAGCCATGAGCAGTGGCCCGTGAAAGCACTTTGAACTGAGGAACCTGAGTAGTAATCCCACTTTCATTTGTTTTCTATATCAGCAACAGAAGACATGGCCTTTTCTTAGCACTGTATCACCATCACTCTGTGGCCCAATGTTAGGTTGGAGAACACGAAGAGAACTTGGTAAATTCAAAGAGTCTCAGCCCACCATACTCCTTTTTTTTCTTGGTTAAGTGTTTGTTGAAGAATGCCCAGAAGGCTGAGTGGAAAGTCTAAATGTTAGTTGAAGGCAAGTATGATGATTTGGGAGTTCATGTAGAGATGGTGGGAAGGTCATTAGAGAGTTGGGAGTGTAGGTCAACTTGGCAATGGTTTGTAGACCCAGCAGCAACTCTCAGGGGACATCCACCTTTCCTTTCTTCTATAGGAGTGGAAGACAGATAGGGTCGTTGTTGACAGTCAGGGCTCATGGTCACGAGCAAAAGACCATACACAGACTCTATCAGTGCATGGTAAAGGCTTTGCTCATTTAGAGAAGAGACAGAGTGAGATCAGCTTCACTAGAGGGCATTGGTCTCTCATAGCCAGCAGGCTTACACTTCATATGGCCAGTGCAGGGCAGATGTCTTGTGCTGTAGTACAAGAGACCTCATTCCTTCTCCACTGGGAATAGATAGAGAAGTGAAGTTTTCCAGGTGCCATATGGTACCCATGCAGTTACTGTGTGCCCAGAATGGGGAAGAAGGAACTGGGAGAGAGAAGGTGACTCAATTCCCAGCCTCCTTATCAGAGAATGTTCTGGGCCCACTGCCTTTACTTAGGCAGTGTTGATGGGAGGCATAGAGGCAGACCATTCCCCCATTCCTCTAGTCTTTGAATATATCTGTGCCCTTTATATTCTTCTCATTCACCTGAGATTAATGTGTCACTAATGGGAACAGTGGTAGGAGGTTGTAGATGCTGTTCCCAGGATGGGGTAGGGTATGTGTGTCGATGCACATTGGAGGACTCTGGCAGGCTTGAAGATAGATGCCCTTTTCTAACTGCCCATCTTATAGGGCCATGTGATGGATCGAAGGAAGAAGGCACTGACTGATTATAAGAAGCTACGTGCATTTTTTGCTGAGGAAGAAGAGCATTTCTTACAGGAGGCAGAGAAAGAGGAGGCGGCTCTGGAGGATGAGGGTGCTGATCCAGCAGAGCGATTCAAGTCCCTGCTGCAGGCTGTCTCGGAGCTGGAGAAGAAGCACCGCAACCTGGGTCTCAGCATGCTGCTTCAGGTGTGCTGCTTATCCATTTCTTGAGCCCCTCAATTCAGTTGGGTGTCTTTCTTTTCACGTGTTTATGGTAGTTGTGCATGTGCTGATGAGGAGGATTGAAAGAAGTAAGAGATTTGCTTGTGTTCTCAAGAAATGCATAATCTTAGAGATTATCAGAGCATAAGATAAGAGAAATAGCAGCAAACATCAGCACAGTAATTTACTGAAAGAAGAGCTTAAACAATACTGTATGACTTCTATTTACTGTAGCCTTTTGGGACTGAATTTCAGTAATAGGTGATCCAAAGATGATGACTTGAAAGAATTTTGATCCAAGGAACATGGTATCATAGGCTTTCAAGTGGGAAGGAAAGTTTGATGAAGGGAAGACCTGTACCCCTAATGCTGAAGCAACATGGCACCTTGACCTCTTACTCTGGGGATTTGAGAACAGAAACTGTGGTCATGGAATTCAGGAGCAGGGCTGAATGAGCACCTCTGGTCCCTCTAGAAGTGCAGTGGAATACCACCACTCATTGGTTGTGTCCCGTGGCCATCAGGCTCTCATGCTAAATGTTCTCGTAACTTCTGACCCAATTCCTCGCCTAAAGCTCAAGACCTACAACTGATTGACTCTGCTTTTTTCATCAGCTTGAATGATCTTTCAGTCAACAACCTGGTCCTTCCCTTTTCTTGTCTGGCAGGTTTTCTTTTCACCTCTAGCAACACTAATTAATAAGCCTAAGCAGTTCAGCTGCCCATGGCTGTTACGGGTTATGAGGCCTCTGGAAGACATTGGGGGGTTGGTGTAAGTAAGGCTGTAGTTTTGCTTGGGTTCTGAGGTTTATAGACATGGTGTTCAGGACAGTGCTGGGGCTAAAAATCCCTGAGCATGCTTCTCTCACTCTTTTCTCCCCTGTGCAGTGATGGCGTTGGCCCAGCCGGAAGGATCGCTCTTGGAGCATGAGGCAGAAGAAAGTGCTTCTAGATGCTGGCTCATAGGCCTTCCCTCTGCCCTTCCTCAAGGTTTTCTTCCAGGCCTCTGGCCAGTCTTCATCCCAGGGCCTTCTCCATCAGAACCATTAATGTGTAGACATGGAGAAAAGCACTTCTAGGTACCCATGCCATTGATTGTTCAAGATAGCGATTTTCAGCGTGTTTGTTTTCCATTTCCTTTGAAGTGTTACTATTTTTGAGGCTGAAAACATTTTTATACTAGAGGCTTGTCACAGGAGAGACTTCAGCCCAATTGTATTTCATCTCTTCATAAAACTCCTGTCATTGATAAGGCTTTCATCAGAAATTTGCTTGGAATCTCAGTCACTCATGCTGATGGTCTGGTTACTAGATGGTCTAGATTCTTGTGCTTTGGGATGTTTATCTGAGATGCCAAGGGATCCAGGCCCTGTACCTTTTTAGTGATGCTTAAGACAGGGTTGTTCTACTGGACATTCATACCCATACCCAGAGATCACATGGCAGATACATAAGGCACATCAATTAAGGCTAAATTTGGGGTTTGGTTCAAGAAGGAGTTATTGTAAAGAGGACATGACTACTGAGTGGGGAAAGAGGGAGGCATTTGAGTTACCACTAGAATTGTTCCCTTGTGTTTAGGTCTCAGGCCTTTTACCTCAGCAAGGTAAGAGGTAGCTTGCCTTCCACTGTCATTCTGGCTCCTGTCACCCCTGACAGTGTGTGCTCACACAGAAAGATGCACCTTCAGTGCAGCATGCACAGAAATATCTCCTCAGGCTTCCACATGGTCCAGAGACAGTCTGGACAAGCACTGATGTAGATCCACTTCACTGTTGGCAGCTGGAAGCCCCATTCTCTCCTGTGAGCTTCTGCCAGGGCAATTGTAATGCTACTCCTTTATCTTCATTTGTTTGTCAGTGAAATCCAACTTTCCAGGGAAAAGAAGGGAATGGAAAGAGAGAGGGAGAGGAATTGGGAGGAAGATAGGGAAGGAGGAAGAATAGTATTTTTAACCATTCATATGGGAAGTATCCATCTTTTGAGTTGTGCCTGATGAGAATGGTGCAGGTACCATTGCTCTTCATCCTTGTACCTGTTTCCTGTTCTCTACTGGCAAGTGTTTCCTATTGTCATTTTTGCCCAACTGTCATTCTTGCTCATTTCTTTTCTTTCTTCATTGTCTGTCCTGCTTCAAGCCGAGTGGAATTTTTTGGGGGCAGTGAGGAAGAACAGTGCTGGACTGGAAGTCTGAAGTCCTCAAGTTCCTGGATTGGTGGTCCATCTTTAGACCATGACAGCTCTGAGAAGCTCATGGGTTCTCCAGGCCTCACTGTGGTATTTCATCTCACTGTATCTCACTGCCTTTTTATTGCTTTGTATTTCTTGTGATGTATTAATTTAGCAAAATGTGTGATTTAGTAGTAGTGCATTGCTTGTGGCATCATTGTGTATAGATTAGGCTAAATTAGAAAAACACAGCACGAAGTAGACAAACATGAGAGATCTGAGAATGTTGATGCAGATAAACATTTAGTGGTTTGGGTTGAGCACCTGAATTCTAGCCTTACTGTAGGATAAGATACTGCTCTCAACATTAAGAGATATCACCTGGCTCATGAGGTAGGTGCCTGTTATCATGAGTGGAGAGAACTTCTCAAGGTGCCATTGTTCCACAAGAAGCAGGCAACACCACTGTCTTCATTTCTCAAGAGTCTGGTCAAGGACACCAACACCACTGAGTGCCTATGTGGGTGGGTATTACGATTTCCATGCTGTACTGTTTTGTGTAATGATGGACACACTAAGTCAAGCTATAACAATGAATGTTTTAAGAGTTCATGATCGTTAATGGTACTTTACACTACTGTGGCTGAATACTAGGCTGCAGCTGAGAAGAAAGCTTGTTAGGCACACGTCACACTAGTGTATGGTCGTGTTGTACAGCCATTGAACACTGGAGCAAGACAGTCAACCTATGTATACGTGCTGCATGGGAAGAAGCGGTGGAGCAGATGTACTGTTGGTGAGTCAGTCAATGCCTAGAGAAGACTGCCAGGGACATAGTGCTAAGCTTTGTGTGCCATGCACATTCACCCTGGAACTGGTGTTGATAACGAATGGACTGCTGTCATGGGGCCTGTTTGTATATAAAGCTCTTCAGCCCTTAAGAATAACTAGCATTACATACTGATGACATGGCATTTTTCTTGTGTGCTCAAGGAGCATGTTGTCGTCCTGACAGCTTATAGGCAGACCTGTCTACTGCCTGGGCAGGCTCTTAGGTGGTGGTGAATAAAGTTGAGTTCGCTTCAGTCTGTTTGCTTCTTTGTTCACTCTTTCCCTTCTCTGTGTCTGTGTGTGGCCCTTCTCTCTCTCTGTCCCTTTGGAGGGCCATGAACAATACAAGATGGATCCTACCTGCAAAGGACTCTGGGGGAGAACCACAGTACATGACTGGGTGGTGACCTGGGCCAGGGAAAAACATACCAAACCCAATTCTATGGTAGCATCAGTTGGAAGCCATTCACTAGTACAAAACAACCCTAACCATCATAGATTACACATGTTTTGTTTTTTTTTTCTGGGTTCCCCTTATTCTTGCATGTAAGCACTAAGTATACAAACCTATACCCTGCACTGCCCTGAGTGGATCTCTACCCAGGTGACTCAGAGCTTCAGCTGTCCATCCTGAAAATCTTGGCTCCACATCTGTAAGTTCCCTAATAAAGCTAGATCCGATTGATCTGGCTTTCTCTGCCTCTTTGGAATCTAACTTGTGTGCCGTAGAGCCACACATACTGGTCCTATGGGGTGTGACACACTGAAAAGGTCTTTATGCTGGTGCTGCTGTGCCCCACACGAAGGAAGTTTCTGTAGATCCTGCACTTTATTGAAGGTGGGGAAAGCTTCACAATGGTATATTGGAAAGAGTGACAACTTCATCATCCGGATCTCAGATTGTATGACCTTGGACAAGCCAATCTGATCCTTTACATTAGTGGTCAGCAGTAGAGGAGCCCAGAGTATCTTTGTTTCCATCCCATCAGGCAGTGGGTAGTAGAAATTGGTGTAAGGGGCCTATCTGAGCTTACCTGTTTTAAATAGGGGGAGTTCGTTCCTCAGCAGTGTTAAGGATCCTGGGAATTCTCCCAACACTGCAGACCTTTGATTTTATCTTAATATTAGAACAGTTTTGGAGAATTGAAAATTAAAGCATCAATGAGATACTACTTTTAGGTTGACTTAAAATAGATAGTGCCGAGTATAAGTAAGGATGTAGCATTAGGTGAACTCTCAGATATTATGAAGGGGTTAGTAGATTGGTGCAGCCATTTTGGAGAATAATCTGGGATCAAAATATATGTAAGAGGCCAACTGTGAAGTTAGAGGAAACAGACCACAAGATTGCTTTCACTTCTGGCACTAACTGCAATTTTGGGAGTTTCCCGAAACCACCCTCAAGGTGGTTTTGAAGAGCTCGCTGAAAGCTATTGTACTCATATTTATCATAGGAAAAAGATACAGATTAAAACCAACCAAAGGTAAAGACATACAGGACAGAGCACTGAATGTACAAGAATACTGAAGTACCAAATGCAGAGTTCCCAGTTGTCCTCTCTCTGTGGAGTCAGGGAGACATCTTCCAAGAATTGACACGTGACAATACACTGGGAAAATTGCCAACCATGAAAATGACCTGAGCCTCACTGTCCAGTGCCTTTCCTGGGATCCTCATCATGTAGGAAGGTTGATTTTACACCGGGCTGAACTTAGTTTCCAGCCCTTCAGGAAATGGAGCTGCATGACCCAAAGTCTTTCCTGTAAATCATGTTAGCATCTTTTGTGGCCAGCTCCCACCCTAAATCATATTATTATTCAGTGGATCTAAGAATCCGAGGAAGCAAAGACATACCAAATGTGACATTCCAAGGTCTTGATCACCTCTCAGAAACTGAGGCAAAAAAGCAGACCTCTTTTTTGGGCAACTACATAATATCAATACCCTGTGACTTAGCAGTTCTCTTCTGGACTGATAGGCCAAGGAAATTCTGATACAGTTCCTTGAG